CGTGCTGCTGGAGCTGGAGGTTCTTCGACTGCTGAGGGTGCTGGTGCCGCGGGTCCCGGAGGTGCTCGTACTGAGAGTACTGGAGCTGCTGGGCCTGCGGGTACGCCTGGAGCTGGAGCTGCTGAGGGTGTTGGCGCTGAGGCTCCTGCTGTCGGTCCTGGAGGCGGTCCTGCTGGGGGTGCTACTGGTGCTGCTGGAGGTACTGGAGCTGGAGGTGCTGCTGGCGCTGGTGCTGCCGCTGGGGGTACTGGTGCTGTCCCTGCTGTGTCTGGAGTCGCCGCGTAGCCTCGGCCGTACTTCGTTCCGCTCCTTCAGCAGGTTCTTGGTCTCCCGCCTTCTACTGGTCCTCCTCCTCCCTTAGAGTGTCCACAGCCTGTCCCGTCCCAGTTACAGTTACAGCCGGCCTCCACACTGCCCGCTCCTTCTCCCTACACTGGTCCTACTGGAGGTCTGGCTGAGCGTCGTGAGCCTGCGTCTCGCCCTGCGTCGCCTGTCCGTCTTGCTCGCACTAGTGGCCGTGGTTCGCGTCAGCGTCCTCCTCCTGTCCCTGGCACGCACCGGATGTCTCTGCGTCCGTCCACTGCTCCTCTGCGTGCCCCTTTGCCTTCTCCTCCTGAGTCCTCTCTTCCTGCTCTTCCCGACCTGGAGTCGGACTCTCTTCGTGCTGCCAGTCCTCCTGTCACGCGTCTCCTTGCTACTGTCGTCACTGACCCTTCCTTTGAGTCCACTGCTGCGTCTGCCCTAGTTGCTGAGCTCGTCGACTTTGCTGCTCGCTGTCGTCTAGACTACGCTGCTAGTCTTGTCGTTGAGTCTGAGTCTGTCTGTCCTCCGTCCGTCGGGGGTGAGTGTGCCCTTGGCACGGACGTCCTTGAGGACAGGCAGGAGGAGTTCCAGTGTTTGGCTGCTGCTTCACCTCATCTCGTGTCCGTACTGCTTACCCCTGAGGGAGACCCGGATGCACTTGACATCCCGACTCCGCGCTCTTACGCGAAGGCGATAGAGGGTCCCTACTCCTCTCAGTGGCAGGCAGCTATGGACACAGAGATGGCTTCCTGGAAGTCCACAGGCACCTACGTTGACGAGGTTCCCCCGCCTGGGGCGAACATCGTCAGTGGCATGTGGATTTTCAGGGTGAAGCGACCGCCGGGTTCTCCGCCTGTCTTCAAGGCGCGTTACGTGGCTCGTGGCTTCAGTCAGCGGCAGGGAGTTGACTACTTTCAGACCTTCTCTCCCACCCCGAAGATGACCACTCTTCGGGTACTGCTGCACATAGCTGCTCACCGCGACTACGAGCTGCACTCTCTTGACTTCAGCACTGCTTTCTTGCAGGGCAGCCTGCACGAGGAGATCTGGCTGCGTCGCCCACCTGGCTTCACTGGGTCTTTTCCTCCTGGCACCCAGTGGAGCCTCCGGCGGCCAGTCTACGGTCTCCGCCAGGCACCGCGTGAGTGGCACGACACACTGAGGACTACACTTGCGGCTCTTGGGTTTGCTCCCTCTACTGCTGACCCGTCGCTGTTTCTGCGCACCGACACTTCTTTGCCGCCGTTCTACATCCTCGTGTACATCGACGACTTGGCCTTTGCCACAGCTGACACTGCTGGACTCGCCCACGTGAAGTCCGAGCTGCAGAAGAGACACACGTGCACAGACCTGGGTGAACTGCGCAGCTACCTTGGCTTGGAGATCACCCGGGACAGAGCACGCCGCACCATTACCCTGACTCAGTCACACATGGTGCAGCAGGTCCTTCAGCGCTTCGGCTTCACGTACTCCTCGCCTCAGGCCACTCCTCTGCCTACTCGCCACTCGCTCTCAGCTCTGCCTTCGGATGAGTCCGTAGAGTCGAGTGGCCCGTACCCAGAGCTTGTTGGCTGCCTCATGTACCTGATGACCTGCACACGACCTGACCTCGCATACCCTCTTAGCATTCTCGCACGCTATGTTGCTCCTGGGAGACACAGACCGGAGCACATGGCTGCAGCGAAGAGGGTGTTGCGTTACTTGTGCAGTACGTCGGGCATGGGGCTTGTGCTTGGAGGGCAGAGTCCAGTGGTCCTCACTGGGCACGCAGACGCTTCTTGGGCTGACGACCAGGCTACGCAGCGGTCGTCACAGGGTTACACCTTCAGCCTTGGTTCCGGCTCTGTTTCGTGGCGGGCTACCCGCTCGTCTTCTGTTCTCGGCTCCAGTTGTGAGGCTGAGATCTACGCCGGGGCCATGGCTGCACAGGAGCTTCGCTGGCTCACCTACCTGCTGACTGACCTCGGAGAGCCGCCTCGTTCTCCTCCAGTGATGTACGTAGACAACAAGGCCATGCTGGCCTTGTGTCGAGAGCAGAGACTGGAGCACAGAACGAAGCACATTGCTCTCCGCTACTTCCTTGCTCGTGAGCTACAGCAGCGTGGTCAGCTGCGGCTTGCGTACGTGGCCTCTCAGGCCAACACTGCTGATATCTTCACCAAGGCACTTGCGCCTTGTGATCATCAGCGCTTCTGTACTCAGCTGGGTCTTGTGCCTACCTTGCCTCACTTGCTCACCCCTTGACCTTGTTTGTACTGTTGCATATATATATACACCTGCTCTTGCTTGTCTAGCCTTATATATATATGTAATCCTGCATGTGAACTGGCCTTGTGGCCTTGACCTTGTGCTCGGAATGTGTGGTGACTTTGTGATCCACCCTGAGCTTGCTTTGCTTTGCTTGACTGGTCTTGTGACCCCTTGTTCTCCCCCACTTTGCCTATGGGGGTGTGTCAGATTTATATGACATAGCTACTGTAGGCTATAGTGGGGTAGCACATATGGGGTACAGTTTTCTAGGGTTTACATTTGTACCCAACTTTCCCTTAGTCATTCCCATTTTTCCTCGTTTCTTCTCACCAACACCGCATTCTCGGGCCGTGATCGCAATCCACTGCCGGTAGCTGTTGACACCGACGAGCCCGACTACCAGATCCAGCGCATCCTCAGGCACCGCCGCCGTCTCCAGGGGGGTGTCTCTTTCATCGACTTCTTGGTTCGTTGGCGTGGTTACGACGTAGCAGACGACAGCTGGGTTCCTTCGTCCTCACTGTCTCCTGACAACGCTTACCTCCAAGTGTACCTTCAGTCTGCAGGAGCCGCGGACGTCACCTCCTTGGGAGGGGTGTAGTGTTAAGGGGGGATTTACTATTCCCTTTGAACAGTACTTTCCAACTCACCCTTATCCTTATCTTCCTTGATTTCCTTGTGCCACGTGGCACTCTACTTTTCTTGCTTCTACTTTCTAGTCCCACGAAGTACTTTCCATCATTCGATCTTGCATGCTATATCAACCTTGCTTGTATTCCCCAATATCAACCAATTCTCATTCAACTCTTCAATTACTCAGTAACTTCTTCGCCTATTTCGCCAATAGTTCTTTCGCCAAAGTCTTCCGCCGCGTTTTCATCCTCGACTTAGTCGACCCCGCTATTCTTTAGCGGATTTAGGCCAAGGGGCCTAACACGAAGAGTGTTCGACTTCCGCTGAACGTGAATTTTGAACCGCGCATAACATTTTCAGGTATGTCAAATCACACACCCAAGGTCGAATTTGAATATTCGACCTTATAGGGGGTGCGCCGAGCCGCTCTTAGGGGATGTATGTTACCAGGTATAATTCTGTAGACATTGCGCCACGTCAACATATTGACTGTGGTTTTCGGCGGAGGCTTTATTGCGTCGCAGAGGTTTCGCAAAATTCGCCACTCGTCGTACGTGCGCAATACAACACACGTTCGGTTCACTGTACGCGCCCACATTTATGCATTGACTCGAGTCGAGTTCGGAAAAGTTAGGTCGCATTTGCCATGTGTTCAAAGGGAAGGTCTTTCGTCACAGAGTTGTGGCGAAATTAACGAAGCTGGTAACCAGACAAAGTTCGACCTGTGTCTCGAACCTTGAATAAAATCAAACACGCCCTGAGGGTTGAAATCAGACAACATCCATTTCCTGAGGACGAGTAAATCCGTGTGCACGCTTGCCGCACCATCTGGGCAAGATGGAAGACAATAAGAGGGCGTTGTCCCACGTGTGCATGCGCTTCCATATGTGCTTGACTGCCATTGACGCCATGCGTGTTGACTCAACAGCGAATGGCGATGGAGCCGCCTCGCATAGCAGGCTCAAATGCCTGGACTGCCATGATGCTGACGCACTTTGTGGTGCCGCCAGGCAATCAATAACAGGGTTTTTTTTTAGAATTCTCAAAAACACCCTGCGAGGCTGGCATGATGCTGACGTTCATTTGCGCCTCCTCCAGGCAATCACGGATCCTTCCGGGACGGGACCAGCCTCGCCGATGCCTGCCGTCGCGACACGACGAACCATGGCGGCGCGCCTGGCGGGGGAAGCGCTACGGCGCCGACAGAAGCAAGACGCAGCATCGTATGTCTCTCCAGTAGGGGTGCAGCCAAGCAAGCAAGCAAAGTCCCTTGGTGCAGAACGGACTGCTCTTGGTTGCCTTCTTGTTTCACCCGCACCCGCACCTCCACACTATGCAGATGGTTCTTTCGAGTTCGTAACTCCCATCTCCCAATCCCAGCAGAAGAACTGCTAGCAGCTCCACCACCAAGCCATAGTATCGCTGAGAAGCTCTTAAAAATCTCATCTGGAATCTTCATCACGTTGATTGTTCCAATCAGCTTCCACAGGGATCTCAGCCCCGTCCTAGTAGGAAGCCTGTCGCCCGTCGCCCAGCTCGTCGCCCAGCTCGTCGCCCAGCTCGTCGCCCAGCTCGTCGTCGCGCAGGCCGTACCGAACGGAGAGCCCAGCCCGTCGCCGTCGCCGCGAGGCGTTCGGTGTGAGAGGAGAGGAGAAGCTACTAGTTGCAGCAGCACGCCTATCTGACGTCCGCCCCCGCCTCCGCCGCTGGGTGACATATGAGTCGACTCGAAAGGGAAGCCGAACCTGCCAGCGAGCTCCCTATGATGACCGTCTCTGCACCCCCCGACTGCCATCTGCTCCCCGGTCTGCCCCATGACCTCGCGCTCGCCTGCCTCGCGCGCCTGTCCATCTGGGACCTGCCCGCCGCTCGCTGCGTGTCGCGCGCCTGGGCGGCTGCCATTCGCCGCTGGTCGTTCGGTCTCCTGCGACGACGTGTCCGCGCGGAAACAGTGGGATGGAGAGGTGCGGGGCGCGGGGAGAGGCTGCGCCATCGTTGGGGGGAAGGGAGGGAGACGGGGTCATTCTCTGCCCAGTGATATCTTGAGTGACTCGGAGAAACGTCTACCGCCGATGCACTATGGACCTCGTCTCCCAGCCCAGGCGGGTCGGAAGCAGTGTGTGAACGGGTTCCACTGTGACAGCCCGGGTGCAGTGTTGGTGGTGTGCGTGGGTGGCAGCAACGGTAGCGACGCTTGCCACCGACTGCAGTGGTTTTCTTGCTGCATCTGCGAAGCCTGCGACCCCTGCCAGCCGTGCGACAGCGACCTCTGTGGCTGCTGCGGGCCCAAGGCATCCCCCTTCAGGTGGCGCCGCCTCCCCCCGCTTCCCCCCACCAACCCCCACGCCCACCCAGCCTGCTACGGCGCTGCTGCAGCTGTGATCCCCGGAACCGGGTTTGCCATCGTGGGCGGCGCCGTGCCTTCCCAGTCCGGCAGGCCGCAGCATGTCCGCCACGTGTCAGTGTTTGACTGGCACATGGGCGCTTGGTTCGCTGTGCAGCAGCCGTGCGTGCTTCCTAGATTGGACCCTGTGGTGGCTGCAATGGGTGGGGTGCGGTGGAATGGGGGGCAGAGGGATTGCCTCATGGTTGTCGGAGGCTGTCCTGTGCCATTGTTTCCTCACTGGAGCTCTGGTGGTTCATGTGGTAGATTTGCTGTTCGCCCCTCTGACACGGGTGTAGTCAAGCAACATCCTGTTTTTTCACCTCCTGGAGCCTCTCCCAGCTTGCCACGTGGCAGTGCTTCTCCCAGCAGTCACTCGCGCCACCCGTTCCTGGGGGTGTGCACGATGTGCATTGCAATGCCTGCTGACGGATTCGGTGTCGACGAATGTGACGAGCGTTTCAGTAACAGCGGATCGGGCCCGGTCCACAGCAACAGCAGCGGCAGCAGCAGCGGCGGCAGCGGCGGCAGCGGCAGCGGCAGCAGCAGTGGTAGCGGCAGCAGCAACAGCAGCAGCGGCAGCAGCAGTGGTAGCGGCGGCGACGGCAGTGGCGGCACAAGCAGCATGCTGAGTGTTTGCAATATGACTGAAGGCAGTGGCAGCAGCAGCAGCAGCAGCAGTAGCAGCAGGGAGCAGTACTACCAGTTCCCAAGGCTCGACTCACTTGTCCTTGGAGGGCGGGTGTTTGTGCGACGGCACAGGTCGCCCTACTTTGCTATCAACCCGGGGGGCTTCAACTTCCACACACACTGGCCAGCTCCACCTGCTCACATGGCCCATGGCCCTGGTAACCGGGTTATAGGGCCTGGCGGTACTGGTGATGGTGGTGGCAGTGGCAGTGGCAGTGGGTTCAACCGCAGCATGCTATCAGATGCAGGTGTGTTGGAGGCTGACTGGGAGAGCCCTGAGATGTGGAGGGTGGTAGAGGAGTGTGACGCCATCCATGCCATCTGGACCAGAACCCACGTGGCACAAGTGATTGTAGCGGATGTGACTGGAGAAGATGCCGTGACTGTAACGGATATGAATGCAGCAGATAATGTGACTGTAGCTGGCGTGACTGAGTCGGATGTGACTGCAGAGCCAGCAGCAGAAGAAGACTCAACGAGAGCAGGCACCAGCACACCGTGGCAAGCGTCAGGCATTGGAAAGCTTGAGCAACAACCACCAGGCTCCCACAGCAGCAGAGCAGCGCCGCACGCCGCACCCGCCACCTACTCCGTGCTCTGCTCTCTCAACCCCAACCACTCTCTCCTTGTCTTCAACCACCTTCAGAGGAAATGGGTCCCTGCTGGCCCTCCGATTCCCCCTCCGTCCCCACCTCGTCCTCCTCGTCCTCGTCATTCCCCTGGGGTCCTCTACCCATCTGGTATTGCCTGGTGCGGCAGTGGCAGTGGCAGTGGCTCAGAGGAGGGACATTCTTCCGCTCCATCCTGCCCACCCACTCCACGCTGTGCGCCCATGCCACTCAGCCCGCCCTGCACACCCACTGCACCGTTCAGCGCGCGTTCTGCTGCACTCAACTCACGCCTTCCAAGCTGTGCCAGCAACGGTGCGGCCTCCAGGCTTGTTGTTGGTTCCAATTCTGCTGCTGCCAATGCTGCCAATTCTGCCGATGGTGCCAATTCAGGAAGGCTGTGGCAGCTTGTGGGATGCGGCGGCCGGCTCTTGGCTCTCTTCCAGCCACACGACCCGCGCCTCCCAGGAGTGATGCGAGATATCCTCCTCCCGGACCTCCACACTCTCTCTCTCTCCGCCCTGCTCCCCCACACCTCCTCGGTCTCATTCCCCTCCTCGCTCCCCTCTCACCCTTCTCTCTCTGCCTCCACACAGCCATGCACCATTGTCAGCCCACCAGCAGCACAGGCACAGGCTTCAGGGAGTGTGCCTGTAGCAGCAGGTAGAGAATCAATGCAGCTGATGAATAGTGATAGTATGGAGGGGCGAAGTGGCTGGGCAATGGGTGCTCCAGTGGCCTTGCCTGGCAACGGAAGGTTGCATCATGTGCTCTCCATGCACGCTGCCGTTTACGAACATTGATATGATCCAATATGGCTGTACATACGGTAGGAGAGTGAACTGAGTTGCTACTAATTCTCTGAGAGGTTTGTCTAGTGAATGCTGTGGAAGCAGTCTCTCGTTCTCCCTTTCTCCAGAGCTCTGCTTTTAGAACACCCTGTTTGTGAGTGCTTTCTGTTCCGACTCTCGTGAAGTTCTGGTACATTGCCCTCCCATTGTCAAAAGGAGCTCAAACTTGTTTGATTGGGATGGCAGCTGAGAGATCCTCCCTACACAAAGGAAAGGAATTTGTCATTGTAGCGCTGGCGCTGTAATTTCCTTACAGCTCTTGTTTTTCCAGTAAACGCACTGCAATGCAGTGAATCGGGTGGGACTCCCATTCAAGTTGAATTACCTAGCTCTCGATCCATTACACCTGCTTGCATCTGCAACAATCAACGGCGCGTTCTTTCCTCCTACAAAAAAAACCTTGCAGCTGCAGTGAGCAGAGCAGTGAGCACATGACATGATGCTTCATGCTCGCCTGAGAGCAGCCGCCTTCATGACCTCCACCAGCTCCAGCATCTGACAATGATGAGGAAGACACAGGCGAGAAGAACGAGGGGGCGAGGGAGGCGGAGAAGGGAGGAGGGGGGACGTGGTCAAAATGGGGGTAGCAGCCTTCATGACCTCCACCAGCTCCAGCATCTCACAGCCATGGCATACAGGCGCATGGGATGGGAGGGAGCATGGGAGCATGGGAGCATGGGAGCATGGGAGGGAGAATGATCGTAGCATCAGGAAGGGAGAAGAGGGGGGAGGGGCGGGGGGGGAAGGGAGACAGGCGGGAGCTGGGAGCCCATGAATTGTATTATTTTTTGCTGACCCAACTGACTCACTCAAACCCATGTTGTTTTGAGCGCGCAGGCGTGTGGGCAGGCGGGCGGGTGTGGTTTGCCGTCCTGTGCATGCGAGCCTGCGTGTCTCAGGCGCAGGTGCCTGCAAGTGAGTCCATGTGTATGTGTGTTCCCTCGTGTGCATGTGTGCTCTCATGTGCATGTGTGTTCCCTCGTGTGCATGTGTGCTCTCATGTGCATGTGTGCTCTCATGTGCATGTGTGCTCTCATGCGCATGTGTGCTCTCATGTGCATGTGTGCTCTCATGCGCATGTGTGCTCTCATGTGCATGTGTGCTCTCATGTGCATGTGTGCTCTCATGTGCATGTGTGCTCTCATGTGCATGTGTGCTCTCATGTCCATGTGTGCTCTCATGTGCATGTGTGCTCTCATGTGCATGTGTGCTCTCATGTGCATGTGTGCTCTCATGTGCATGTGTGTTCCCTCGTGTGCATGTGTGCTCTCATGTGCATGTGTGCTCTCATGTGCATGTGTGCTCTCATGCGCATGTGTGCTCTCATGTGCATGTGTGCTCTCATGCGCATGTGTGCTCTCATGTGCATGTGTGCTCTCATGTGCATGTGTGCTCTCATGTGCATGTGTGCTCTCATGTGCATGTGTGCTCTCATGTCCATGTGTGCTCTCATGTGCATGTGTGCTCTCATGTGCATGTGTGCTCTCATGTGCATGTGTGCTCTCATGTGCATGTGTGCTCTCATGCGCATGTGTGCTCTCATGTGCATGTGTGCTCTCATGCGCATGTGTGCTCTCATGTGCACGTGTGCTCTCATGTCCATGTGTGCTCTCATGTGCATGTGTGCTCTCATATGCATGTGTGCTCTCATGTGCATGTGTGCTCTCATGTGCATGTGTGTGCCCTCGTGTGCATGTGTGCCCCCATCCCCTCCCACCCACCCCAGGCAGCCCTCTGAGCATGGGGGCGTGGTGCGCCAGCCTCACAGCAGCCTCCTCCACCAGTTCACTCAGCGCGTCCACCTCGTCCCCCAGCACGAGCGTGGATATGCCCATGCGTGCTCTGCCTTTGCCCCACTCACCCCAGGAAGGCCGCGCAGCATGGGGGCGTGGTGCGCCAGGCGCACAGCAGCCTCCTCCACGAGATCACTCAGCGCGTCCACCTCGTCCCCCAGCAGCTGCACCTCCCTCTCCGCCCGCCCCAGGTTCGCCATCGCCACGCCCACCGCCTCCTGCTGCCGCCGCCACTTCTTCTCCGCTGCTTGTAGGAGCCTGGAAAGGGTAAGCGGAAGGGCAGAGGGAGGGCAAAGAGTGAAGGAGAAAGCGCGGTGGAGAAATCTGGATCAAATCAGCCTGCCGCCACTGCTCGCTCCTCCACTGCTTGTGGCAGGCTGGCGGGTACGGGGAAGGAGGAAAGGGGGGTGGGAGAGGAAGAAAGAATTGTGGAAGGCGCGACTCAGGCTGCTGATTGCCACGCCCACCGCCTCCTGCTGCTGCTGCCACCGCTCCTCCGCTGCTTGTAGCAGGTTGGCAGCAGGAGAGAGGAGGGATGGATGGATACGGGGAGGAAAAGGGGAAGCGGAGGGGGGAGGAAGGGGAGGGAGGGGACGGAGACTGAGGGTTGAAAAGAGTGTCAGGTCGAGCTGATTACGAAGCAGATGCTATGGTGCATGCCGGGGTTAAGTGGTGACGACAATTCAATTAATCCGCAAATGATCGCAGAATCCTGTGATTGTCCACAATCCACGGACGTTGGTTTGACTGAATCCGAGATTGAGATTCACTGACATCGTCTGTCTGACAATTGACCAAAGGAACCTCACCCTGACAGGACCGGCAAGCATGGACAGGCTTTGACTGGCATTGACTGGCCTTAAAATGAGCTGCAATTGACTGGAAACGGACACACAGTGGTCTGAACTTAATGTGGTTGACTGGTAACTCTAAAACCTGGCCGGCAAGCACTGATGACCCGAAGGGAGTGCAGACTGACCGTAAAAGAGTACAGACAGACAAAAAAATCGTGCAGACTGACCGAAAAAAAGATGGAGACTGACAGAAAGAGAGTGCAGACTGGCCGAAAAACAGTGCGGACCGACCGAAAAAGGTTGCAGACCGACCAAAAAAGGTACAGAGGAGTGCAGACGACCATGAAAGAGTACAGACTGACCAAAACAAGAGTGCAGACTGACCGAAAAAGGTTGCAGACTGACCTAAAAGAGAGCAGACTGACCGGAAGGGAGTGGCATCGCCTGGAGAGGCCATGCTAGAGGCAGGCGACCACGGCTGTAGCTGCTGCCCATGCCGGCCTGTCCCTGCTGGCGTGGCAGCTGTAGCAGGCGTGACTGCCGACGGTGTGAAAAACGCAGGTGTCTTGGCACCGGGTGTATACCCTGCCGCCCCTCCAGGTGTTTCTTCAGGTGCCCCCTGATGCAACACCAGAGCGCCACTGGCTGCTGCCAGCTGCCTACTCCCCTCCCTCCCCTCCCTCTCCGCCACCCCTGCCTGGTCCAGCGCCCACATCAGGTTCTTCTGCACGCTGCCTGCGTCCCCCACCCCCTGCTCTCGCCCTCCCGCCCCCTGTGCCGTGAAGAACGCCGCTGCAGAGGAAGGCGCGGCGGAAGGATGAGCAGCAGTACCACCACCACCTGCAGCAGCAGCGCCAGCGGCAGTGCCAGCCGCAGCAGCTGCGGCAGCAGCGGCGGTTGCAGCGGCAGAGGGGGCGAAGAGGGGCGGAGAGGAGGGCCAGGCGAGTTGCAGCTTGAGGCGGCTCTCAATCTCCTTCAGCTTCTCCTCCGCTTCCCCCCTCCTCCTCCTCTCCCCTTCCCTCTCCCTCTCCGCCCTCTCCCTCTCCCCCATCACTCGCTCCACCTCCCTCCCCACCCGTGCCACCTCCCCTTCCATACGCGCCACCTCCTGCCGCCACCATTCCCTCTCCTCCCCTGCCTGCCTCTCCCGCTCTGCCAGGGCAGCTGCGGCACGTGCAGCAGCACTGGCAGCGGCCTTTCTGGTCTCCTCTAGCGCCTGCAGTGCGGCTCTCACCTTCTCCTCTGCTGCTCTTACCCGCTCCTCCCCGTGCTGCTGCTCCCTCACCATCGCCTGCTGCCCTGCCTGCACCTGCTGCTGCAACCCACTCGCCTGCCCTTGCCACTCCTCAACCTGCCCCCGCAGCCCGTTCACCTGCCCTTGTAAGTCCTCAATCTGCCCGTGCATCTCCTCCACCTGCCCCAGAAACCCGTTCACCTGCCCGTAAAGCACTCTCTTGTGCTCTCGCAACTCACCCACCTCTCCCTGCAAGCGCCCCACCTCCTCGCCCTTCACCCCCACCTCCCCCTCCAGCTCCCCCACTCTCCTCCGCGCCTCACACACCTCCCCCTCCAGCTCCCCCACTCTCATCTGCAGCCCCTCCCGCTCCCCCACTAGCTCCTCCCTCTCCCTCGCTGCTGCCACCTCTGCCACCCGGCGCTGCTCCTCCAGCATCTCACCCCACTCCTCCAACTCCCTCCTCTCCTCCTCCCTCCGCTGCCTCTCTCTCACCACCTCTCTGCGCACCGCCTCACCCCACCCCTCGCTCTGCACCACTGCTTCACGCGCCACCAGCAGCTGTAGCTCACAGCACCCCAGCGCTCTCCTCGCTGCATCCCCGTCGTGCCCGCACTGGCACTGCTGCGCTGCTGCCCCATCTGCTGCCGCCCTGCATGCTGCCCCATCCTCCTCCTCCGTCTGCTGCAGCGCCTGCACCACAATGAACGACTCCAAGTCCCTCGCCCTCGCTTCTTGCTCCCACCCCGCCGTGCCCTCCTGCTTCTCCTCCTCCCATCCACCACCCTTCCTCCTCTCATACTGATCCCCCATCCCATCCTCCCCCACCCTCTCGCCACTTTCGCCCCTCCCATCAGCCTCCTCTCTCTGCACCATCCTCTCACTCATCCCCCCATCGTCTCTCCTCCCCACCCTCTCCTCTGCTGCTTCCAGTGCCAACTGCATCACCAGCAGCTGCAGCTGCACACCCAACACCACCTCCTCCCCCCCTTCACCCCCACCCTCGCACCTCACTCCCTCCCTTCCCACACCCACCGCTCCCACACCCTCCCTCCCCTGCTCCCCTTCCCTACCTAACCCCACCCCTGGCCGGACCTCTCCCCGAGCCTCTTCCAGGGCCTTCCGAGCCTCGGCCAGATCAGCCAAGTACTGCCGAAGCTGGGAGGCCTGTTCCAGCGTCGCTGCTCGCTCCTCCCCCCAAGCCTCCTCCATGCCTCTCACTGCTTCCTCCAACACTGCCACGTGTACACCCTCCCCCACCACACTCCCCACTGCCGCCCCTGCCACGTCACCAGCCTTGGCCAGCTGGCACGCCGCTTCGCACGCCAGCTGGCGCCTGCGCTTCCGCAGCTGGCTGACAGCTGTCGAGACGGAGCGCAGCTGCTGAGTCAGCGTTTCTCTGAGCTGACTCAGCCGGTGCTGCTGGCTTTCTGCTGTCAGAGCTGCTGCATCCCACTCCTGCCTCTCCCTCTCCACCCTCTCTTCACTCCTCTCTATCCCTTCCAACCGCTCTGCCACATCTACCTCTTCCTGCCGCCCACCGGCACCTGCTCCTTCCCGCCCCCTGTCACCACCTGCATCCCCCACCATGCCAGCGTTACTCAGCCGTTTCAAGGCCTGGGAGCAATTCAGCAGCTGCCGCGCTGCCACCCCTGCGTTTCCCCCAGCCTCTGCACCACCACTGGTAATGCCACTGGCACTGCCACTGATACCCCCACCTGCACCTGCGCCTGCACCCCCATCCACACCTGCACCTGCACCTGCATCCTTGCCCACACCTTCGCCCTCCCTGCTGTTGCCCGCACACCACAGCACATCCCCCACTTGCCGCCACCACGCCCTATCCCTCTCCACCGCATCCAACTCCTCCCCTAACGCCCTGCAAACACGCTCCATCTCCGCTGCTGCTCGCTCCACCACCTCCTGCCATTCCCCGCCCCCACACCCCTCTCCCTTCCCCCCTTCCCCCCTTCGTTCCCCCCACTCCCCCCCACTCCCCCCCTGGCCGTGCCTCCCCCCGCCACCCTCCTCCTTCTCCTTCCCCAGAGCATCCAACTGCTGTTGCTGCGCCTCTACCTCCTTCTCCAGACTCGCTATAATCACATTCAGCTTACTCACCTCCTCTTTCAATTCTTCCTCCCTCTCCCTTGCTCTCTCCAGCTGTTCCTCCAGCCTACCTTTCTCCCTCTCATGCTCGCTCTTCCTCTGCTCCTCCTCCTCCTCCCACCCAACCAACACCTGCTGCCAGTCCCGCCTCACCCCCTCCATCTCCTCCTCCTTCTCCCGCGCCACCGCTCTCAACTCCTCCACCTCCTCTCTCAACCCCCTCATCTGCTGCTCACTATCAGCAGCAAACGCACACAGCCGCTCCTCCTTCTCCACCACAGCCCGCAACAAACTCGCCACCTTCTCTCTCTCCTCCCTCACCTCCCTCCCCAACCCCCTCACCTTCTCCCTCTCCTCATCCGCCCTCTCCCTCTCCTCATCCGCAGCAGCCTCCCACTCCTCAGCAGCCCGTTTCGACTCCCGCCAATACTGCTGCAGCTCCACCATCCTCTCTCGATACACCTCCTTCTCCTCCTCCGCTTCAGCCACCTTCCCCCGCCACTCCTCCTCCACCTCACCCAACCTCCGCCTACACTCATCAGCCTCCTCTCGAGCAGCGTCTAGCTCGTGGTAGCTGCGGGCGATCTGAGACACGGCGACCTTGCTGGCGTGCAGGCGCCCCTCCAGCGCTGCGATGCGCTTGTTCTTGTTCATCAGCTCCAGGTTCAGGACCTTCACCCGCACACTCGCTGCCTCCGGCTCCCCTTCTCCTGATTCTCCCACCTCGGATTCACCCGCCGCAGATTCACCTGTCCCCGCACTGGCAGGGGCCCCACCTTCTGCAGCACCGGCAGCATCCACCCGTACAGCCACAGACTGAGCAGAAGCAGAAGCAGAAGCAGCAGGATCAGCGGCAGCAGGGGGAGCAGGGGGAGCAGGAGGAGCAGCAGGAGCAGCAGCGTCAAGAGCGCGCTGCTGGTGAGTCTGAGTACCCTCCACCTGTGCCTCCAGCCGCCTCACAGCGTCTCTCAGCGCGTGGGCCTCCTGCTGCCGCCGCTCCGCCTTGCCGCGCCACGCCTCCACCTGAGCCAGAATGGCACTCATCGCCTCCTCCAACTCCTCCACCCGCCTCTCCGCACACCGCCCACTCTCACCTGTCATTGCACTGCCCCCTCCTGTCATCGCACTCCCTCCTCCTGTCATCACACTCCCCCCGTCTTCTGCCCCACATGCTGCCGCGTTGCCATTTCTCATTTCAACACTCGATGATTCGTCATCCCCAACCCTCTCACTCCCTTCCACCCGCTCCTCTGCCCCTGGCCCCTCCTCCACCTCCCCTTCCACATCCCAATTCAAGCCCTTTACTCTCCCGCCCGCCCTCACCCGCCCTTCCATGTCCCCTGTGAATCCGCGCCCCTCTGGCCGCCCGCCCTTCACAGCAGACCCAGCACCCTCCTCCAGGGCCCCCAGCTCCGTGCCTGCCTCCGCCCTTGCCACGCCTCGACCTGCTCCATCGCCCACGCTCCCACTGCTCTCCTCCACCTCCTCCCTCCTGCCCCAACTCACCTCCTCCCCATCCGCATCTTCACCCGATGCTGTCCTCCTTTCCGCTTCTCCCTCTCCGCCCTCTCCCCCTCCCTCGCCCGCACTCTCCCGCGCCACCACCTGCGCCATCTCCAGCAGCAGCGCCACCCCATCCTCTTCCTCCGCCTCTCCCTCCTCCTCACTCTCTCCGCTACCCTCCTTTTCCACTTCTCCTACCTCCCTCTTCCCATCCACCTCCCTCTCCATCTCCCTCCGCTCCTCCTCCCCCTCCCCCTCATCCTCCCCGTCCCCACTCCCTGCTCTCACCCACGGCGCAATCCTCACACGTGCTCGTATCTCAGGTGATCTTAACGAGGGTGACACGTCACCCTCCTCTGACACAGGCCCTTCACTCCCCTCACTCTCTTCACTGAACCCCCCCTCGCTACTGTCACTCCCACCATGCCAAAAGCCCCCATTCCCACCAGAAAACCTCCCTCCTTTAACCCCAAACCTACCACCAGCACCACCACCACCCCCACCTCCTCCTCCCCCTCTGCCAGCTATTCTGGGCATGGGCGCGGCGCCAACAGAAGCTGGTCGCCGCTCCTTACCCCCCTCCCTCCCCTCCCTCGCCTGCCCTCCTCCCCCCTCACTCCCCCCCGTGCCACGCCCCACCACCGCCCCGCCAGTGCTACCCGGCCGCACCACAAACGCCCGCCCTGCAAACTCGCCTGACTGCTTGTCCTGCCCTGCCCGCCCTGACACCTCCTCATCCAGCAGCATCGACAGCCCTGCTCGTGCCTCTGCTCTTGACCCTCCCCCTGCCTTTCCCCCTGCTCCACCCCCCCACCTGAATCCACTCATGCCAACGTCCACCCTCGCCCTGCCCTCCTCCTCTCTCCTGCTCTCTACCTCCTCCCCTTCCTCCTCCTCCTCCCCTCGCTCCCCCTCCCCTCCCACCGAATCCTCTGAACCAGTACCTGCCTTCCCTCCTCTCTCCCTTCCTCCCTTTCCTCCTCTCCCCCATCCTCTCTCCTCCCCTCTCTCCCCCCCTCCCCGCCCCCCTCTCCCCCTCCTCTCCCCTTCCAGCGCACGCACCCTCTCCCTCAACCCCTCCTCCACCTCCCTCCGCTCCGCCACGTCAGCTTCCAGCTCAGCAATCCGCCTGTCATAACCACGCTTCACCTCTTCCAACTCACCCTTCACCGCACTGCACCGCTGCTCCCTCCCACTCGAGATACACCGCTCACTAAACAGCTCCTGATGAACCGCCGCCACCTCACCCTCCAACTCCCCCACCCGCCGCTCCTTCTCCCTCACCTCCCCCTCTAGCCGGCCAATCAGAGCGTCGCAAGCTGCCAGCCTGGCAGCGCCATCCACCACCTGTCTCTCCGCCGCTCTCAGCTGCTCTAGAAGCTTCCCCTGCCGCCCCTCCTCCTCCTTCCGCGCGTCCCTCTCTCTCTCCACCGCTTCAACTGTCCTCCTCAGCTGATCCACCTCCTCTTCGAATGCCCTCACCCGCTCCTCTGCCTCTCTCGCCCGCTCCTCCTCTGCTCTCACCCGTTCCTCCAGCTGTGTTCTCTCAGCGGCCCACACCGCTTCCCGATCAGCCAGTTCGCCCCACAGCTCAGCCGCCTCTGCTGTCCCCTGCTGCTGCTGCTCCGCTGCCCCTGCCTCCGCTGCTTCCGCCCTCCCCTCCGCCTCGCCCCTCGCCGCCTCCGCAGCTTCCGCCCTCGCCTCTGCCGCATCTGCCCTCTCTCCCACTTGCACCACCAGCGCCTCTGCTGCTGCTGCTCTCCTCTCCAGAGCAGCAGCGTTGGCCTCGCCAGCAGCCACACGCGCCTGCCACTCCTCCTCTGCCTGCTGCATCGCCACTCCCATCACTTCCACCATCACTTCCCCACCCATCCTGCCTTCTGCCTCTCTCCGCTCCCCCTCTTCCTTCTCCTCAGCTCGTCTCATCTCCGCCTGCTGCTGCTGCTGCTGCTGCTGCTCCAGCACCTGCCTCTGTAGCTCCCTCTCCCGCTCATGCCACGTGGCAGCAGCCTGTTGGAGCGCCGTCTGCAGCACCACCTCCACCAGATCGCCCTTCGCCGCCCACTCCTCCCTCTCCTCAGCTACAGACGCCGCTACAGCCGCTGCTACAGCCGTACCCTCCCTCTCTCCCGCCCTCCTAGCCTCTTCCGCCACAGCCCTACCAGCTGCCTCTGCTCTCACCGCCTGCTCTGCTGCAGCCAGTCGGTCCAGCAGCTCTCGCCTCTCCTCTGCACACCTCTCCCTCCATCCACGCCAGTCGCCTTCTGCCTGCTCCACTGCCGTCCGCAGCACCGCCTGCACCAGATCGCCCTTCGCCGCCCACTCATTCCTCTCCTCAGCTACAGCCGACGCTACAGCCGCCGCTACAGCCGCCTCTACAGCCGGTGCTACAGCCGCAGCGGCCTGTTGGAGGGCCACGTGCACGACTGTGTCCACCAGATCGTCCCTCATCTTCCCCTCATCGCTGCGCTCCGCTACAGCCAAGGCTTCTCCAGTCGCCACCCCTGACTCTGCCTCCTCCTGCTGCTCCCCCTCGCCCCCGTCCCCCTCCTCTCCTCGGGTGTCCCTCCCCTCACACACGCCCTTCCACCTCCGCCTCTCCTCCTCCATCTCTTGCTCTTGCTCCTTCAGCAGTCTCCTCAGCTCCTCCTCCCGCCCATGCCACGTGGCAGCTGCCTGTTGGAGGGCCACGTCCACGACTGTGTCCACCAGGTCGTCCCTCGTCTTGCACTCATCGCTGCGCTCAGCTACAACCGCTGCAGTCGAAACTCCTACAGCTGAAGCTTTTCCAGCCGCTACAGCTGAAGCCGCTACAGCCGCTACAGCTTGCTCCAGGGCGATCGCCAGCACGTGCTGCTGCAGTGACGCCGCTGCTGCTGCCACCGCCTCGTCTCCCAGATCCACCCCTTCCTCCTCCCGCTCCCCTCTCATCCGCACCTCCCCCCTCTGCTCGCCTCTCTGCTCCCTCCTCTGCTCTCCTTTTTGCGTCCACGTGGCATGCCAGCTGGCAGCCGCCTGCGCTACAGCCGCCTCCACCACGTCCGCCTGTAGCTGCTCTGCCGCCTGTAGCTGCTCTGCCGTTACGGCAACAGCAGTGCGTGTGATGGCAGCAGATCGAGGCGGAGAAGCGGCAGCAGCAGGAGGGGAACTGTCTTCGTCCCTCTCGTCTACCTTCTCCAATCTGCTTCCCTCCTCCTTCACGTCTGCTGCTGCGATCGGATCTTCCAATTCAGATCCGCCACGTGTCCCCGCCGCTGCAATAACCCAGTCAGGCCCTCCGGACATCGCCCCGATCGCAGGTTCAGTCGCAGGTCCAGTCGCAGTTTCAGTCGCAGGTCCAGTCGCCAGAGCCTGCGATTCTTGCGACGCCGGAGTCGCCTGCTCTTCCCCACCGGACCCGCGCGTTGCATTATCCGCATCGCCCGCCTTGCTTTGCGCCTCCGCATCGGGGGGCGGGGAGGAGCGGGCCGCATCTGAGTCGGGGGGCGGGGAGGTGGGCGACATCCACGCGCCCAGAATCCCCCCAAACGGTAGCCACGTGGAGGAGGGTGAGGGGGTCAGGGCAGCGCGCGAGGGGGTGTGTGCACCGGGCGAGGGGGTGTGTGCACCGGGCGAGGGGGTATTCGCGGCCGCGGAAGTTCCTTTCGCACTCGCGGGTGTGCTGGGTTGCGCGAATCCCGCCGGCGGCGGCGATGCGACAGAGACTGTCGCCCGTGGATCTGTCGCCTGATCTTCTACACCCAAGGCGTCGCCCGCCCCTTGGGCATCATCCAACCGCGACTCTGTCTCCATCGTCGCATCTACACCGTCGATCGCAGCGACCAGTTTCGCCACTTCTCTCTCAGCTTCCGCGATCTCCTCCGCGCGGTTTTTACTCGCTGGGATCCCCCATAGCCCTTGTCGCACGACCGGTGGGTGCTCTCGCAGCTGCTCCAGCGACACCTCGAGAATCAGCTTCTGTAACTCTTTCGCCAACACTTCGTCACCTACGTCTCGCGACATCGTACGGCCGAGAGGAGCTCTCCCTACATGCTTGAAAAAATACTCAATCCTGAGAATTTTAGGAGGTGGCGGATGGAGCAGACGACCAGAAAAAGAGTTCATGAATGTAAGTACCTTTTTCACAGTGGGGTGTGTGCGTGGCGTGGGATTTGCGATCTAGACCGTTCAAAGCATGGATCGCAATGGTGGTGGTGCGCTGTGTCATTCCAGATCCGTTTTAGTTCACTTCGCTTTTCGTTACTGTTGAGGCACATTGTAGTAAACCCTGAACTTATATATACGAGAAGTAGCATTTGCAGAGTAATGTGTACAACACACAAATAGTATGATTAACAAAGCACTAAAGCATATATATTCAGCTAGTAGCCAGCCTTATAGATGCCGTTCTGGAATTAGAAGCTAATCGGGTCCCAGGGGTTGCCCAAAAAAAGGAAAAAAAACAACACAAGCTAAAATAGCCTCCCGTTTCAAATCTGTTTCAGGTACAGGTTGCTTCAGCACCATCAGGAGTCTTCACAAACCTGCCTTTCACCCGCTGCCTCCCGTCCGCGCGTGTCTTGCGTGACTCGTACCGAATCTTCTTGGCAAACCTGTAGCAATGAGGACAGGTGGATGGAGAAACGGGCGTGTCAGATGCAGAGCTCAAGGGTCAAGAGAACAGGGATGGCAGCCAAGACCTGTGGTGTTCACACGGAAACCGAAAACGAACCAGCAGCCAAGAGAGGCAACGACGGAGGTCATGCGGAAGAACAGGGCAGGGCAGGGCAGGGCAGGGAAGGGAAGAACAGGGCAGGGCTGGGCAGCACAGGGCAGGGAAAGGAAGGGAAGGGCAGGGCATGGCAGGACGGGTTAGGGCAGGGGAGGGAAGAGCAGGGATACTGACGTGCGGTGCTTCTTCTTCTCCATGTATCTCATGACTGCCTCGTCCCTGGCAGCTGCTGCTGACACCGCCACCATCGCTGACAGCACCGTGCCGCCCGTCATTGGCCCGCCCATCACCCCGCCGCCCGCCCCCTGCATGCTCCTCGCCCGGCACAACCAGGGGTCTGCAAGAAACCCGTTGACCGTGTTGACCCCACTAATTGAGTTCCCGTTGACTGCGTTGACCCCGATCATTGAGCTCCCGTTGACTGTGGTGACTGGGTTGACGGTGTTGAGAGCGTTCAGGGCATGGGCCATGCTCATGGGCCCAGCAGGATGCATCGCACTGCCACCAAACAGCACAGCGGCACTGGCAGGACCCGTCCTCTCAGCTCCTGCAAATGCTTGGACGAAAGTTGTCCCTTCTTCTTTCACCTCCACTGCCGCAGCACCAGCAGCAGCAGCAGCAGCAACAGCAGCAGTAGCAGCAGCAGCAGCAGCAGCCGCCATTTCTGCAACCACAAGCCCTGTAATGCCCATGGCCTCACCCTCGCTGCTCCCTCCACCTGCATGTGCGTCTGGGGTGGCAGTGCCTCTGCTGGTGCGCCCATCGCGCATCATCTGCCCCTCCAGCGCTTGGAACAGCGCCAGCTCCCTCTCCTCCTGCCCCGCCTCCCCTGCCGCCCCACCCGCACCTCCCGCAGCACCTGCCAAGGAGCTGGACGCCGAAGCTGTGGACAAGGTTCGGATGGCAGCATTGTTCCACACCGCTCCGTTCCTCCAAGGCGCGCGACCAGACGCGTCTGCAGCAGCAGCAGCAGCAGCAGCAGCACCGAAAAGAGTGGCAGGAGTGGTGAGATCACTCAGGCCATTGGCGTTGGGTGCCGTCAAAGCAGAGCCTAATCTGCGCTCCAGCAGAGCGCACGTGGTGGGCGATGCACTGCCATCCATGCCTGCTGCGCTGCCGCCCGCCTCCCCCAGCACCCTCGCTAGCAGACGGTTCATGCCGGCCATGGAGGAGGGCGGGCGGGCGGCGAGCCAGTCAACAGTGTTCTGGTCCAGTGGCTGCATGAGCGCGCCTGCAGCTGCCATGCCCCCCAGGGGCTCAGCAGCACTGTTACCGGCACCCAAGGTAGCATGACCCATGCCAGCAGCACCCATGGCGATAGCATCCTCCACATCCTGCTCCTCTTCATCCTCCCGCTCCTCCCGCTCCTCCCGCTCCTCCCGCTCCTCCTGCTCTCCCCCCTCCTCCTCCTCCCTCACCACCTCCTCGCCCGCGTCTCGCCCCAGCTGCCCGCCAAACTCGCTGTTGTTCTCGCCAAACGAGAAGATATCCTCACATGACGACATAGACATACCCATGCCCATGTCCATACCCATCTCCATGCCCATATCCATGCCCATGCCCATCATCCCCATCCCCATGTCCATGCCCGCGCTCCCCACCCGCACCTCCTCCTCCGCGCCCTCCTCCGCCCCCATCTCCCTCTCCCTCTCCAGGTTCCTCTCTGCCTCGGCGAAAATCGCATCGCCGATGCGTGAAACGAGCAGTTTCTTGTCGGCTTTTCTCTCTGGGGCCCTGTCCTCCCCTGCCTTGCCACTCCTCTGGTTCTCCACTGTTCCCCCTGTTCCCCCTGCGTCTCCTGTTTCCACTGAGCCGCCAGCAGCAGAGCGGAGGGAAGCCCTGGCGGAGGCAGGGGAGGAGCTGGAGGGACAGGCACTGTCCGCAGGGCACAGAGCAGCACCGCACGCCCTTCCACTGGCGCAACCAGCAGCACCCGAAGCACCACTAGCACCACTGCCAGAAGCAGCAGTGGCAGCGGTCTTGCCACCACTACCAGCAGCAGCTGCTGCTGCAGCGGCGGCAGCGGAAGAGGCGAAAAAGAGGACCTTGAGGGGCGGAGAGGGGCGCAGACCCAGGCTGGCAGGGCCTGCACCTGCAGGCACGCCCATGCCCACGCCCACGCCCGCTAGAGCACCAGCCGCGGCGCCTCCAGCAGACGCGCCGGCAGAAGGAATCAGTGCAGCAGGAGCGACGGGAGGAGTGGGAGCGGCGGACGCAGCGGAGGCAGGGGCGGAACGGGGCGGGGCGGGCAGGCGAGCGGCTCTGAGCGTGGCGGCGATGGCAGCCATGGCCGGGGAGAAGGGGCTGCCGGGCGGGGGGACGGGCAGGAAGACGCTGGGACTCGCAGGCGCGCGGGAAGCGGGCGCGTGCAGGGGAGCTGGGGGGAGCGCGGGGGGCGTGCAGAAGGGCGGGAAGGGGGTGGCAGAAGGGGGCGCGGATTGGGGAGCGGAGGGGAGAGGGGGTGGATGGGCGGCATGGGCTGTGCTTGGCGTGGGAGGGGATGGGAAGGCTGAGACGCGGTCTACAGTCACGCCCTCCACAGTCACAGTGCTCTGGCCGAGACCTGGGGAGGTGAATGCGCTGCTCTTATTGGCCGGGCTGCCATCGCCAGTGCCACCGTCTCCTCCGCCTTTATCTTCCACCCTCCTCCTGACTGCCGTCCCATCCTCGATTGTCCAGTTCTCCTGCTCCGCCTGCTCGCCTTGCTCCGTCTGCTCCGCCTGTTCCCCCTGCTCCGCCTGATCCGCGCCCAGATCCCTCATCACCACGGGCGACCACGACTCGCGCCTCCCCTCCTCGCCCCCCTGCTCCTCCGCAATCCGCACAGGCGACGCCTGCGCGGAACCCGCCGGCGCAGACACAGGTAGGGATACAGGCAGGGGCCACGCGGAGCTGCGCGCGTGCTTGTGGCGCGGGGAGACGAGGGGGGAGGCGGCGGAGGCGATGCCAAGGCCGCGCTTGCAGGCGAGGCGGGGCGACGTGAGAAACGCGGACGGTGCAGCGGCGAGCGCAGCTGCCACAGCGTTGGGGATCCCTGCTGCAACCACATTAGGTGTAGGCGCCGCAGTGCCCGCCGATGCTGCCAGGGAGCCGTCCTCAATGAGGGGACTCTTGAGCCCCTTGGCGTCCTTGGGGTTGACGCGAACGGGTGGAAGCAGAGGGCTCGACCCACACGCGCCCTGCACCACCTGCCCCAGCTGCTCCTGCTGCCTTTGCTGTCCCAACAGGTGCTCCTGCCGCTCCTGCTGCTGCTGCAGCGGCTGTTGCTGCGGCTGGTCCGGGTTGGCGTGCTCGTGCTGGTCAAGGTGCAACTGGCGCTGCCACACCAGCTCCATCTCCTGCTGCTGCCGCGTGCGCTGCCGCTCGTGCTCCACCTTCTGCTGCGACAGCAGCAGCTCCTGCTGCTGCCTGTGCCGCAGCGTCAGCATCTGCTGCTGCTGCTCCTGCAGTAGCGTCAGCCGCTCCTGCTCCTCCACCTGCTGCTCCTCCTGCAGCACCTGCTGCTCTTCCTGCTGCTTCGTTATTGCCTTCTCCGTTCGCAGCCACTTCCCCTCTGATGTCTCCAGCGCGGACAGCTGCTGCCCCTGCGCGCGCAGCCACTGCTGCTGCTGCTGCTGCTGCTGCTGCTGCTGCTGCTGCTGCTGCTGCTGCTGCTGCTGCTGCTGCTGCTGCTGCTGCTGCTGCTGTAGCATCTGCCATTGCTGCTGCTGCGGTTGCTGCTGTTGCTCCTGCTGCTGCTGTTGTTGCTGTTGTTGCTGTTGCTGCTGCTCCTGCTGCTGCTGCTGCTGCCATTGCTGCTGCAGCTGCTGTTGCTGCTGTTGCTGCTTCTGTTGCTGCAGCCAATGCTGCTCCTGCTGCTGCTGCTGCTGCCATTGCTGCTGCTGCTCCTGCTGCTGTTGCCATTGTTGCTGCTGCTGCTGCTGCTGTTGCTGCTGCTGCTGCTGCTGCTGCTGGTGCTGATGCTGCTGTTGCTGAAACACCTGCGCCGCATGCGCTGCCTGCGCGGCCTGTGCGGCATGGGCGGCGGCGTTCATGGCATGAGCGTGCGCCTGCATCTCCTTCGCCTGCTGCTCTTGCAGCTGTAGCCGCTGCTGCTGCAGCCGCTGATGCAGCTCCTGTTGTAGGTGCTGCTGCTGATGTTGTTGTTGTTGCTGCTGCTGCTCCCCAACACCGAACATCAGACCCATCTCCAGGTCCACACGCTGGCTTGGCATCCTCTCCCCTTGCCCCATGCCTGGACCGAAGCTCGAGCCGAGGCTCGGGTGAGTCATGGACCTTCCGGGAATGGATTGGAGGAGGCCCAGGTTCGGGTGTGCGGCAGAGAGCTGCCCGCCGGAAAAGAAGTAGCGATTGCCTTGCGCGAGCTCCGCTTGTCTCTCCATCTCCGCATTTTGCAGCGCGCCGAATCCAGACTCCTGCGCGCCTGCCTGCGCGCCAGCCTGCATGCCCTGCTGCGTGCCTTGCTGCCCCGCAAAACCGAAGTCCGCCGGGAAATGCGGAGGCGGCATCTGGTTCAGCTGCTGCGGCTGCTGCGGCGGCTGTGGGTGAAACGGACCGCGGTCGGCGGCGGTGCTGGGAAGAGCGCGGGGGGAATAGGCTGGCGGAGACATGCGCGGCGCTCTTTGCGCGGAGTAGGAAGAAGGCGCAGGCGATGTCATTCCGGGGGCGCACGCGGAGGGTCGGTGCTGCTGTCCGGACGGCTGCTGAACACGCAGTAGCGGCAAACACGGACAGATGAATATAAGTTTGAGTTCAGACTTCATATGCAGGCAATATCGATTGACGGATGACACGCGTTGGTCAGATGAAGAATGGCACTAAGGCGAACCCTACAAACAATTGATTCACTGCAGAGAGGCATGCACCAGACCTCACCTTGCCTGCCCTCGGGCTTTCCGCCGGATGCGCGGCGCTCGCTCCGCGTGCAGACTCCGGGAACAATGACTGTGACGCGTCGCCCTGCGCGACAGCTCCTGCGAAGCCGTGCGACATGCTCCGCTGCAGCACCGCGTCCATCATATCCGCATCTCCCGCCGGCATCGACGTCGCAACGGTGCTCACCGGTGGCAAACCCACCGACGTGCTCGACATCGCTCGTCTGGCCGACACCGCCCTCCCCGCACCGCTCGTTGCTCCCGCCGCTGCGCCGCCTCCTGCCGCTCCGCGGGCTCCCGCCGTTCCGCCTAGCCCCGCCGCCCCCCACTGCTTCCGCGGAGTGGACGCGCAGACCGTGGTGGTGCTGGGTTCCGGCGCAGCGGGCTTGGAAAGCGACGGGTGCTGCACGGAGCTGGTAAGACTCATAGTCGCCGCCGGCGTTACCAATGGTCGCAAGCTCTTCACGGAGCCAGAGGTTAACCGCGTCGCACGGCCAGAATCTGGCGACGGCAGCGCGTCGTCGTGCGACAGTCTGGTCGTGTGCGACGCGATGAGCGACGTCGTGGCGCCCGTTGACGTTGAGCACGCGGGGCGAGAGTGCTTCTGATGAACTTGGAGCAACGGCGGGGGTGGTTTCGCCAACTCGCAGCCCCAGAGCTGAGCGAGATCCGCTGCGGACGGGCAGCCCGTAAAATTCTCGAACGCATGGCGTCTGTGTAATTGCGAGGAGGATAACTTGCCGTGAATTGCGCTATCGCAAGCGATGCAGAGAGATAGGTTTTCGTCAACGCAGCGAAAAGCTGCCGGCTGGAGATTACAGCCGTCGCACAAGAGAGTTCGCTGATGTCGCAACGATAGGTTATTAGCAGAGTGCACGACGCGATCGCAGGAAAGGCACAGCCTAGCGGAATCGGCGCGGCAGTATACGGTGGCTCTTCCCTTCTCGCAATACTCGCATGTACTGTCCATCTTAAAACGCGAAAACTAACCGTCGAAAATTAGCGCAAGAGCGATTCCTACAAGTTACAAACCCTAAGCGACGCGAATAACAGGAAACTAGGTGGTAAATCTCAAGCTAAGAGTTGTCCTGAAAATCGGCTTAAGTCTTGGTAGTGGTATCTGGGTTTCACAATCTAGGGAGCTTGTGGATGAAATGAGAGCAACAACTGTGAGCTCTCAGAAGCTCATCCATGAAACCCCTTCCTGGCACAGAGATGCCTCCCTTCAGACCTCCACACAGGCCTTCCCTCATTTAGGGCGCGTGTGCTTCACTGGGTTGTTATGTCCGGACGACATTTAGCGCATACAAAGAGCTTTGAGTTCGCAAACTCAGGAGACGAAACCCAAAATCCCCCGCAATGAAATGCCTCACGACGCTAACGAATGATTGTAACTACAAGCAGATCGGGGTTCAGAACGTACGGTGCAGCTACTACACGCCCTCAGCGCAGCCAGAGCAGCTCGCGTGTAACCCTCAAGGGTAGCGGTTGGGGGAAAAAGCATTTCCCATCTAGGAAAGAGGATACATTTCCGCTGAAGGACCTTTTGCGTATGTTGCTTGGATAGCCATCTGGCTTTGTGAACTGTGGGGAAAAGCGCAATTGTGCATTTCCGCTGAAGGACCTTTTGCGCGGGAATCCAGCTCCAAGATGGGGGGGAGCTCTCAGAAGCACTCATTCAACACGTTGCTCCCCGCCAACTCTCGCTCACAGTCTCCGCCCGCCCGCACCTTGAACTTGCCGCGCTGGCGGAACCAGGGAGGTTCTGTCTTCGGGGAGCCAGAGTGAGGCGAGGGGCAGAGATGAAACAAAGTCCTTCAGCGTAAACGCGTGCGCAAGAAAGGTATTTGGCTGACGTGTTGGTCCTGAAAAAGAGCAGCTGCTGACGAAAAAAGTGCCGCTGCACGAGCTGTGCTGGATCGCTGTTGCGATGGCGGGGGCAAGACAATATCGCCCTTATCCAGATCTGGACTCTTTTGGCACAACCACGAGATGCTTTCTACGTGGATGGCAACTTTATGCATTAAAGCTGCAGTGCGCGCACAAGCCAGCGAAATACGTACCTTCCGCCACGAAACCCTAGGCGCACTTTTTCGCTTTTCAGCGCTCAGCTTGGCAATGTCCACTCTGGCGTCCAGATGTAAGAGCTACAGAAGATGACATGTGGAATGAGTTTGTGGTTACAATTGATGCCTGTTTGAGCCCCTCCCGGTTGCCTGGTGAAGGGGGCGTATAAGCTGTATCGTGCATTTCGCATAATTTTCGTCAATTCGCAGCTAGCTAAAAAGGATTCGCAGGTGCTTATATTAAGTATCTGTAACCTTATCCGTTGACATTTTGACTTCAGTCTCTTTAGTTTGACTTCAGTCTGTTCGTTACTATTGGTCCATAACCACGCGACGCGCTTGTATCGTGGGTGCAACAGGCTGGGGAAAAGACCTCGGGTGCAGCGTTTCCATCCGGTGCAGGGAAAATTCGCGTGCACTGGTTGGGCATTATGTGTACATCGTAGGTGGCAGATACACTTTTCCTGAGAGCCCTAAGATTGGCTACTGCGTGGACTTGAGTCTGAGCCAGCCGCAACTGCCATTCACCATTCGAGGCTAAAATTCTCCACGTGTCAGACATTTCTGGGACTCGTTGTTCCGCCAACTTCAGTGTTCTGACGGACAGCACACCAGTGAGTCAGCCAAGCACACCAGTGTACTTTGTAAAATATTCAGCTGCCCATTCAAGATGAGGGGGCCTAAAAGTCGTTTGAACTCAAGGCAGGGGAGATGGCGGGAGGGAGGGATGTCAGCTTGTCTGCCGTATGTTGTACTAGGTAGGTACAGTACACACGACCGGTACAGTTGTGTAGTTTCAAAACCCTGAAACCAGGTCCACCACATCGGTTTCGTTATGACAGTAGAAATTGAGACAACAAACGGAGCAGGACAGAAGAGATCACCAGATTGTTGTTTGCATCATATGAAGTTCTGTTACCAATTAATGCTTTACGTTGTATATTTACATATTTTGCATTGCTTCATCGTAAAAACAAGACATTAAACACAAACATTTCGAGTTTGGTTGCTACGAATAGTGATTATTGAAGTATCACTGTGCACTCCTTACCGCAGCAATCGAAGCACGCACTACAGAGAATGAAGGCCAAAGAACAGAAGTGACACGAATGCAAACATCGATCTCGCCCTCGTCAGACCAATCCGAGCAACTGGTCCGGCCGACAAGACGCACGTAACGACACGCGTCCTGCCCAGGGGCATCAACTCCCATTGCGCAACCTGAATCCAACGATTCAGCATCAGCAGCAGCAGCCATAAACTGCGCTTGTCCGCAACATCATGGACAACATGACAATGACGAGCGGATCCCGTCGTCCCCGCGCGCGCTCACCATCACCTGAGGAAGCACGCCACCCAATCGGAGCGTTCTCGAACAACAATCCGTTCAGCACGCGACACGATTTCACCGACGACGACGACCAGGACTGGAATCTGCCAGCCCCGCTGCTTGAGAGCCCCCCACACGTACCCGATACAAGGGTGGCACCGATCGATTGGATCGCGCGCGAGCAAGTTGACACACCACATATCGTTACTCCGCGACTGGCGCTGCTCGCTCGTAATGACAACAGGCGCTACAACACGTGGTACCTGGATAGATGTTGTGGGCAGCACATGGTGGGTTCCCGACGTTACATATCTAACGCCGTCGCCACCCCCGCCGTCACCTACGTCACCGTGGCAAACAACACGCGCCTCGAGGCCCGCGGGAGCAGGATGTACATCACTCTGAACAACGTGCTGATCGTACAGAATCTGCGTTTCAACCTCCTCTCGGCGGCGCATCTCATGGATTGCAGGGTCGACCTTAGCACCGATCCCGAGACACGTGACATCTTACTTCACTTCACGATGCCTGGCAAATCGCACAAGCAAATCGGGCGAGCGCACTCCGAAAATGGAGTTTACATCATCGACTTCGATATTCCCAACTGCAACGGTGACTCGAAGGAGCTCATCGGTCTCGTACCCCTGCGCTTCGAACACATTCACCGCCGCGTCTGGAAGCACCCTGACGGAAGACCGTGGGTGCCTCATCACGCTCACCCCGACGGCATCTGCAGAGATTGCCATATGCCCACGGCCTCGACGAGCACGATCGCCGGCCGTGGCCTTGCCGCCATCGCTGAAGCAGAGCGGGAGGTACCGCCTGAAGAAGGATTGTCAAACCTGGAGCTTGCAATCACAACACACGGCATCTTCGGAACGAGAGAACATCCCCTCCCAGGACCCGCATCACAACACCTTCAAGGCATGTTGCGTGGCGTCGGCGTCGGCACCTTCGATGCGCACGGAAACCCGCGACCCTACACACAGGAGACATTCCTGGAGGTCTACACTCACCAGCGCGACTCTACGAAGAAGCTTACCGTGGCGCAAGAGGAGGAACTGGCGCGTCGCGAAGCGGAAGGACTTCGCCAACGGAGCCTTGCGGAGTCGCGCGGCACATTTGCCTGGAGCGGATGTGGCGAAGAAGAGAGCGCCTCCAATGAAGGGGGGTGGGGAACCGCTGGCGGATGGGGCACGAGAGACACTGGCGGCAACACCGGCGGATGGGGAGCCGCAACTGGCGGCGACACCGGCGGATGGGGAGCAGTCACCGGCGGAGACACCGGCGGATGGGCAGCCGCATCTGGCGGCGAGACAAGCGGCTGGGGAGCTTCCCGCGAGGACCAAAGGGGGGAAACAGAGGAAATCGAGGTCGAACCTCATGTTGTTCCTCTTGGTCGCCCTCCGCGCCGCCCTGCACCTACCCTACCCCCACCTGACACTCAACCAGGGAGTGACCCTTGGGACACAATCGACTGGGGGAGCGAGCCATCCACTCCGCGACGCACCGTCTACGGGCCTGCCCCCGAGCCGCGCGAACCAACCTTCTTGGAACTATCCCTGGAACCAATATTCCCCTCTCCACCATCCTTGATAGGGAGTTCCTTGCGCTAATGTTGACGACGGCGAACGGAGAAGAAGAAGCTGACGAAGCAGCAGCGCCACCTGGTCAAGCACCTGACGAGGATCCCGCAGAAGCACTCGCGCGCTACATGCGCACCTCCGGATTCCGCGCCGACGATGCCATCTGGCACCAACGCCTAGGTCACCCCTCGTGCGTAACACTGAAGAGCTGCATCGAGGCCGGCGTGTTTGCGCCTGGCGCACTCTTGCGCCCTGACGGCACTGAGGTAAGGGGCGCGACACATCCGCGCAACTGCACCGTCTGCCCCGAAGCCGCGCTGAGCCACCAGCCGTCCCCCCTGCTAGAGCCCGGAACCAACCGCTACACCAAACTGGAGAAGGTGTACATCGACTTCCTCAACGTTGGACACTGCGGCATTAACGAAGAACTCTACACGCTCACCTTCGTCGACGCCGGAACGTGCTACGTGTGGGTCGTAAACGTGGAAGCGCGCAGCAGAGCATACGAAGTGTTCCGCCTCTGGCTGGCGCACGCGCAGCGGCAATCTGGGGAGAAGTTGAAGATCTGGCAATCGGACGGCGCGGCGGAGTTCAGGAGCAAGGAGTTGCAGGATTACCTCGCGCAGAAGGGAATCGAGCACCATATATCCCTCCCCTACGCGCACCAGCAGCAGGGCGTAGCTGAGCGCACAAATCGCACTCTCATGACGAAGGTGCGGGCGCTGATGAAGCAGTCGAAGCTTCCGCCGACCTACTGGACCTACGCAATGCACCACGCCGTGCGGGTGCACAATCTGCTGTCAACCATCGCCATCACCGGCAACTCGTCACCACGTGTGAATTGGACGGGGACCTAGGGCAACACATCCATGCTCCGCGTGTGGGGATGCATGGTGCAGTACCGCCCGCCGACATCAACTATCGGGAAGTTTTCAAGTCGCGCGCGCTGGGGGATTCACCTCGGCATCAGCCACGAGCACAAAGCATG